GTTTGTTAGAGTATGTTGTGATGAAGAAGTCATCACCATCACCATTTTTGTTGAAAACCTACATGTTGGTGGAAGATCCGGCGACGGACGACGTCGTTTCTTGGAATTCCGATGGATCGGCGTTTGTTGTATGGCAGCCGGCGGAATTTGCAAGGGATTTGTTACCTACACTCTTCAAACATAGCAACTTTTCAAGCTTTGTCCGGCAGCTCAATACCTATGTAAGTCTTCAATATATTCGCCTTGAATATTTACATCAAATCAATGAATATAACGTAAATGTTTAAACCCTTTTAGAACATATAATATTAGGATAACACATTTTTTCCGATAAAAATGTTATCTGCGTTTTGTGTTTGCATCAGATCAATAAATATAACTCAAATGTTTAAACTTTTTTTTAGAACATGTATTAAGAAAAAACACGATTTTCTCCGATGAAAGTCCATTGGAAATGTGCTCGTCGGAAACTATTTCGATGATATATAATTATATATATAGTTGCCGACAAAAATATCCATTGAAAAAACCGTGTTTCTAATACAACAAACACGTGTTGAATTAATTTCTTATTTTTGTCGAAAAATTATTCACCACAAAAAAAAATTCCTTAAGAAAATATGAGTTAAATCGTTTTCTCATTTTAATTTGTGATTTATTAAAAACTAATTTTATTTTATTTTAAAAATCGAATTTATTTTCCTCCCCTCAACAAAAATGGTTATTTTTTAAAATTAAATACATAGAAATTAAATTATTAATCGATATATATTTGATAATGAAAGTGTATTTAATTAACTAGTCATTGTAATAATCACGTGTAGCTTGAGTAGTTTAATTCTTTTGATTATATAATAAAATTTAATTGTTGGTATCTTAAAGTAAATTTTTTTTAAAGAAAACAACTTAATTCTTGTTATTTGTAAAACAAAATTAAGATCACAAAGGATCTTTTGTGGGCTCAACTAATAGAACTACGTATCATGATTTTGGAGTTGACATCAAAATAATGATTATATTATTGACATAAATCATACTAGCTTAGAGCTTAGGTTAATAATAACAATTATAGGCTGTCAAAATAAGATGCATGTATTGCTAATAATTGTCAAAAGTACTCACAAAATAGTTAATCACTTTGGATTAAGTTTGTCTTATTTGTACACTTTTGAATTAGCATGCGTAATAATAGTGTTTTTACTATTTATTAACCTTTTTAATTGCTCATGTTTCTTCACTAATAAAGTGGAAAAGGTAGTGGAGATTAAAAATGTGCACTATTTTTCATGGATTATTTAAGAAGCTTCTTATCTTTTGAGGCAATTATTATTTAAGTTCGAGACGAATAATTACATACAATATGATTTTCATTTTTTGAATCGAATGTTTATTTTTCATATGATTCTTGAAATTTATTCTAATTATCCATTTTGCATAAATAACATTAGGGTTTTCGTAAAATTACGACAAGTCGATGGGAGTTCAACAACGATAAGTTCAAAAAGGGCGAAAAGAATTTACTCCGTGAAATTCGTCGAAGAAAAGCATGGACAAATAGGCAACAACCAAACAACAATGGTGGACAAAGCCAAGATGCGAATAGTAACAACAAGAAAGATAATATTACAGAAGAAGATCAAAGATCATCATCAACTTCATCATCATCTGAATATATAAATCTTGTCGATGAGAATAAAAGGTTGAAAATGGAAAATGGAGTCCTTAGCTCTGAGCTTTCACTCATGAAAAACAAGTGCAAAGAATTGATGAATATTGTTACAATATTTGCTAAAAATCCAGAGAAAGAAGAAGAAAAAAAGCCAATGTTATTTGGAGTAAGATTAGAAGTTAAAGAAGAAATGGAGAGGAAGAGAAAAAGAGTTGAACTTAATGAAATAGCTAGTGTTTTTCTCTCTCAAGTATGCAAATAAAGTAGAAATTTAGAGAGAAAAATAATCAAGTGGTTAATTAATAATATATGTAATAGTTGTACTATATATGTTATTTTGTATTATTTCATGCAAAATTAATAGTATTAATCAGCATGTAGTGACTACTAATTAAGTGGAGATATATACCTAAGTTGTATAAGTTTTGCAAGTGTTATTTTCATGTGAAATGTTAATAAAAAATTTCAATTAATCATTTGCTTTTCTAAACTATGCCAAAAGTTAATTTGCTTTATTAAGCTTTCTAGCCATAGTTAGCATATATATATATATATATATATATATTTCAGTTGTTAGAAATGTTACAATGATATATCGATCAGTGTCGGGGTACAATTTTGCAAAGAGTGGCCAAAGCTTGAATATGTATGAAAAGTAATACTCGATTTATATATACAATATAATTTTTTAACGAAGAGAGTTCAAATAATCACCCTTCACTTGTCGTAGCTTCGTCTCTGATTTTAAATAATTTATATTTCGATATATTCCCTCGATTTACTTTTGCTTGTTCATTATACTATTAATATTCAATTTTATTTGTTTAATTTAAAAAATCAAAAAATAATTAACTATTTTATATCTATTTTATTTTTATTATTAAATATGGATGGAGTAACATCAAAATAACGCGGCATGAAATTATGGAAATATAGAGATGGTCAAAATCTTAGAGATTTTATATTCTGTAATTGATTAGAGATTCAAAATTCAACTTTTATGTGGGACATGAAAAAGAAGAAAATGACAAAACAGTGTTCAATGAACTTGAAATACATAACAAAAATAGGATTTTGTCTTCAATATAAACCACTAATATTTTAAAAATAAAAACATTTATTGTGATGTAATAAATTAAAGTTGCCTTCAAAAAGAAGACTTGACTATTTTGATCCTACCAAAAAGAAGAAAAAGGTGATTTATAGACGAAATATAAGATAAAATTTTGAAGAATTTGAAAGTCATGATAAGAATTCTCAAAGCTTGACTAAATATTAAAATTATTGGCAGAGTCGGAATTTAAAGTTTATAAATTTTAACTTGTTATTAAATTCATAACTTGTTTAATTAGTCATTGTTTTCAATATTAAACATACACATATATTTTTGATGAACTTTAATACAAATTTTAAGCAAAAATTATTATATTCATTCGAAGTTATACCTAATATTATAGCTCCACCAAATCATAATGATCTCTCAAATCATAACAAAATGATTTTACTTTTTTCTATAAGGATGACAACACATTTGTGCGAAAGACGTTTTTTTCTCTTCCCTCTCCCCTCTGTTCCAAAGGCCAAGAGAGAAACTGCATTTCATATATCATTTTTTTGCGAGTTTCATAGCTGAACTATTTGGTGCTTGTTTTTCATACTTGAGCTATCACAAACTATATTTATCAAAACTATTTGAAGTTGACTAGACCAAGTGTTTGAATTTTACAATCGCTAAAAAGCGCATGGCACCTTAATTTGCCCATAAAATTCTATCCACGTGACAACTGACTCATTAATTTTGAGGTGCGTTTTGATAAATAGTTAATAATAGTTGGTTATCAATAATATTATTAGTAACTAGTAAAATTATCCGCGCGAATTTGATTTCACAAAATATATAAAATAATACTTAAAACCTATCAGTCATTAAAACTAAAACACTATGTTGTCTTACATACAAGATTATGTAGTAACTAACATTAATAATATAAAGGAAAATGATAATTATAACATCTTATCATTTATCCTTCAATCAATCATCTTTAATTTGATTTTATAATTTATCCTTTTGCCCCCAGAAAGTGTTACTATTTGATAGTTTTGGGAAATTAGATGAACATCAACATGAGATATAAAATTTTCTAATAAATAAATAATCTTCATCTGTATTAACAAATACTTATAACAATAACTTGACAGAAACATAAACAACAAAGTTTAAACATGTACTCAAAAACAACAATTAATATTATAAGCATAAATTAATGTCTGTAAAAAATATACCAGGATCTATAACAATAGAATGAAACAGAAATGAAAAAATTGAGCCCATTGAATGCACAATGTATCCTTAAGGAAATTTTTCCCCTCTAGTAACTGAGGTTTAAAGGAATAGATCATCTCAGGATGGAATGATTCTATTCACAAGTGTATTGATACAAAAACAATGGTGTTAGTGAGCTACTCAACAGGAGCAAAGTACACGAATATTTAATTGTGTCAAAGAAGAAGAAGAAGTTCAGAATTTTTGTTGTTTTAAAGTGAGAGGAAATCCCTCTATTTATAGACAAAAAGGGTAGTGTGAACAAATGCTTATTGTGCCTTATCGGGATTGTCACAACTCTTTGGAAAAGTTACAACCTTTCAGAAAGGTTACAACCTTTCAGAAAGGTCACAATCTTTCATAAAAGTCACAATTTTTCATAAAAGTCGCAACTGTTCATAAAAGTCGCAATTGTTCATAAAAGTCACAATTTTTCATAAAAATTACATCTTTTCATGAAAGGGAAAGGGTATTTTTGAAAATAAATAAATTTAAATGGAAATTTTTGCTTGTGGTGGCGCCACGTAGGCAGACCTAGGGTTCTTTTTTATATAAATATATGATTCTTCTACTATCGTATTCTTCGATTTTACTATTATATATGTTGTTTACTTTACTTTGTTTATCATACTATTTATGTTTGCTATTGTTCTTTTCAAAGTCCATCTTGTTGCAACAGGAATGAACAAAAACAAATAAATTTTGGCTAATGCATGTGATAAAGATACCAATTAATTTCCATTATTTTATATATATTTCACTTGAGCCGAGGGTCTATATATCAGAAACAACATCTCTACCTTCACAAGGTAGAGGTAAGATTGTGTATACACCACCGTCTCCAGTCCCCACTCATCGGATGTGTATGTTATTATAGTTTAGGTAGAAAACTCGCAAAAGTGAACTAGTGATAGTTCAGATGTGTTTTCGACCATTATCTGTCGTTGAAATTGAAGAAATTGACTAGTACTAGTATGTTATAATAACTTGAATTTATATATAAACATGTTACATGATTGAGAATTCATCATGAAGTCCATCTAATTCTCCTTTAAGACTATGTTGTTGAATGATCAAAACAGATGCAGTTACTGAGAAATCAGAAGCTGAAAGAATATCACCAATAGGACCTAACTCAGGACATTCTTCCCAATCACTCATCCCTACTGTTAACACTGAATTAACCCGCCCTCCCCGTCCCACAATAAACAAACCATATTGCCCTTCTAACGACCTTAACGTCGAAAATGTCTGTCCAGAATTTATGAGATATTTCTCAATGTAAGCAACGCGTCCACCAGCAACATGTTTGTCGTAAAACTCAGCAAAACACTCATCATCTATCTTCATTTCTTCTAAATGTTCACTAGTATTAACTTTTGCTTTACTAATTCTTGATGATACACTATCTCCCGCGGCTTCTAACAAGAATCTAATTACAGTTAACTTTACTCCAGGATGTCGTGCTACACGTCCTGCATACACAAGTGCTTCTCTGTCATCCTTTCCACCGATGAATATCACTGCTGCATTGAGGGAAATGGATGATCTCGCGATCACTGTTTTACCAAGTCCTCTGTCTACTAGTATCCCTACCGAACAAGGTGCATTTCGAAGAACCTGAGATAGATCATACATAGTACAAGTTACAAAATGGTCCACTACAGAATGTACTAAAATGAGAATTTTGCTTGACATACCTTACGATTGATATGACGAAAGCCTGTATGACCGACCTGAAGTCGTCCATCTTCCTCTTGATTCTTATGAAAAGGAAGTATAACAAGATGTACCATCAGGTCCTCAGCAAGGATACTTATGTCTTGATGCATGTTATTGATGGTAGAAAGTGCCATCATTCGTCGTAAGCTAACACCTTGACAGTTCTCGTTTAAATAAGCGTTGACATCTTGAGTGATTTTCTCTCTCATTTCAACTACCGTAGGGTCAGTCACAGTTACAGCATCAATCCCCTCACCTTGAGTTATCAATGTTGCTGCAATTTTATCTGTTAAATCGATCATATCAGTTAAGTAGACCATTATCCCTGGATTTACTGGCCCTCGCGAAATTTCCATGAAGTTTATTGCTGAGTAAACATCTTGAGGACTGCGAATGCAGAGCAATATTCGAAGCTCATTCACCGGATTGACACATTGTAATGCCATTTTCTGTGTTGGTGAACGTCTCCTTGCACGTTCAATAATTTTTGCCACGACTACCGGGGTGTATATTATGGTTAGAAACGTTACAAACACCAACGCGATACTTGTTGACATACTTATGACATTCATCTGCATCCACAAATCGTAAATCAAATCACACGAACAAACAAAAACAATCACCATCATAAAGGAGAAAACTAAAGAAACAGACATAATACATAACACAGGCACTCAAACTTGACCTCAACTAACAAACAAACACTACCTTACCTTTGTCTCAACTAACACAGTGCAGACAAGTTGAGTTGTCTTGATCTGTGTATACTCAAAGTTGGAGTGTTTACTTACCTGCTGAGGCCAAGTTTGAGTGTTTATACTTATTCTAGGATGAGCGAGACATACCCGATATGCATTAATAGCCAAGTAGACTTGAAAATGACCCTTGATATTGAGTAACAATCCAGTAGCAACTGATTCAGGCCAGTGAAATCCAAGCATCAATCCAGAAACAACAGAACCAACAACTTTACCACTTGTTGCAATTATAAATGGAATAATAATTTTACCCCATGAAGCAATTTTACCAGCCTCAAATTCAGAAAGTTTAGCCTCAGTTCCAACCCAAAAGAAAAACAATGGATAAAAAATTGTCCTAAAAATATAATTCACTTTCCCAATCATCATTTTTGATATTCTTCCTTCTCTTGGCATAAACAAACCAACCAAAAATGCACTCAAAACTTTGCTATAACCAACAACTGGTGACATACTACATATTAAGATTATAAATGCTAATGCCACAACTAAATGTGATCCTTTCATAGGTTTCCCTTCTGGATTTTCATTATTCACCCATTTCATAACAGATGGTACTACTTTCGATGCTAACAGCGTCTGAAACACCAAAATCGCCATCATCTTCAACATCATTATCACACTACGATTCTGAAAGTTCTTATCAGGATCGAATATGAGAAATCCAATAGCAATCAACAAGATCGATACAACATCAGAGTGTATCCCCGCATCAACAATAAATCTACCAATGTCTGATTTACCAATCTTCAGATCAGTTATCAATCGAGTTAACAGAGGTGAATCTGTTCCAGCTAGAACAATCGCGAGGCATGAACTGAACACAGCATTTGATTGTTTAGATATATTGAGAAGTGGAGTGATCAGACATGCTAAAACAAAAGTTGTAAGTACCCCTGAATACGCGACTTTCGCCTCTGGTAAAGTTAATTGGAGGAATATATTTGGATCAATCTCTAATCCAACAACAAACATGTGACACACCATAATAGCATCCACAATGTAATTCAATGTCTGTTGAACTTCACTATCGTTTAAGAACCTTGAACGAACGAATTCAAGATTGCTAAGTAGCAATCCCACCTGTATGTATATGCATCATCATGTATATCTATTAGAACTAACTTCTGTTAGTAAAACAAGGACGTCTCAATAAAATTAGTGACCTAAAGCCAAATTATAATAAGAGGCCTAATATTACTACACTTACAATGGATTCTGCAATGATACGAGGCTGGGAGATAGGACGAAGGAGGAGATGGACACAGTTACATAAGAACATGGCGAAGAAGAAACCTAAGAGGTAAATAGACATTGATGCGATTCTTATGGTAATTTGATTTCGACATTCTACTTTCGTATCGTTCTGTTTCAAGAAATCCATTTTTTTTTCTTCACATCAATTAGCAGAAAGAGAAAAATGAATGAAATGAATCCATTGTTATTTGGAATTAATTCCTCAAGAAATGGGGATCCTTTTACTCTTGCTCATATGTCTCCTACTAACTAGCTAATAATATTATTATTCGACGTGTTATAAAGAAATTTGACTGTATAACTACATGTTTAGTTTGTGTAGTAAAAAATATTTCTTCTTTTATTAACTTATGCCTAATCAATACCGTCATATAAAATGTAACAAATGATATATTTTTTTTATTTTCGGAGTTGAACCTTCATTTTGAATATAAGAAAGGTAGCTTGAGGAGATTTTTAACTTAATTGACTCCATTTGTCTATGAGGATGTCACAAGGACTCAAAAATAATATTTTTTCTTTCATAGCGATGGCATATCGAGTCTCGATCAGTGACTGCATCTCGAGTAATATTGAGTATCCACTAACGCTCGCAACATATATCAAACTAGTTATGGATAGCTTGTGTTGTGCATGGGTTCAATAACATTAATTTTTTATATCTATAATTTATTTAAGTGTAAGTACAATTTTTTACTTAGTTATAAAATGTAAAAATACTTTATCAATAATAATGAAATGTAGGAAAAATAATTAATTATGCTTTAGTATTCCCCATTTAAGGCCCTAATTTATTTCAAATATTTTTCATTTTACTATATGAAGTTTGAGTTGTGTTTAGTTATACTTTTTACAATATGTGGAATAATATTCATCTTTGAATGTACTACTATTTTAAAATGAGTTTAAATAAGTTATAAGTTGTTTTTCGAACTTGATATATAACTTTGAATTAAATTTCAAATTTTCATGATCAAACACTGATTTTCAAATAAAGCAAAATTTTATTCTGAAAACAGTAGTACATTCAAAGTAAAAGGAAATGAGCGGCCGCACAAGCAACTTTTTGTCTTTTTCATGTTAACAAACCGAACACACTGAACACACAGTTGCTACAACAAAATTTCCTTTGAATTTTTGGGTAAATCTTACCATTGAAAAGTAGAAGAAAGCTGTCAAATATTCCCCAGTTCACTCAAAAATATTTTGTTACTTTACTTCTCACTTTTAGCATAAGAAAAGAAAAAACTTTTTTTTTCTCTTTCCATGTTTTACTCTCAACATTAATTACTTATTCCCCAAATTTTTCAAGACCTAATATTATATATTATATCAATTAATATGAATATCATGATAAAACACTCATACACCTCCCTTGCTTAGAATCATTCACTTTTATTAGATAATTAGTTGGTGTTTGGATTGACTTATTCTAGTGACTTTTAGGGGTTGTTTGGTTGGAAACTAGTTATTCCAGGATTAATTATCTTGGGATTAGTTATCCTGGAATAACTTATCCCATCACTATTGGGTGAGATAAGTTATCCCAAACAAGACAACATAATTTTATCCCAAGACTAACTTCTTATTCCAGGACTATTTATTTTTATCCCTCAACCAAACGACCCCTTAACTTTAAAGCGCTTTTTTAATTTTGAAAGTGTTTGGTAACTCAAAAAATGGTTTAAGCACTTTCTTTAGGCTGAAAAAGTACCAAAAAAGCCAAAAACTAAAAGTTAGATATTCCTAACTTATGACTTTTCGGGGTCGTTTGGTTTGAATATGAGTTATAATGGGATAAGTTATGTTGGGATAATTTATGTTGGATTAGTTATGATGAGATAAGTTGTCCTGGAATTATTTCTTATTGAGTGTTTGGTTTGTTGTATTCAAAATAATATATATTGATAAAATTTAAGAACAAGTTGTTTGTTTACAAAATTACCCTTCACTTTATTTAAACTTTTAAAATTTTTCTTTGTGAGCTTTAGTTATTCATTTTTTAAAATAAATCTTTTATTTTATTTAATTTAAATATTTTTGTTTATGTATTCCCATGATAAGTACCATGTGTATTTAAAAATATAACTTTTTTCTTATTTAGCTTAAAAATAGAACTTCCCTTTTCAGTTTATTAAAGAGAAGAAAATGTATGAGAAATCAAAATAAAATAAACAAAGAATTAGTTCATAAATAAAAATTATATTTATATAGTATAATTTTTTAATAGAAAAATATGTATAATTATCATAAAAATAAGGAGTAGTAAATATTATTATACATGGTATTAAAAAAATGTATATATATATATATATACATAGATGTGAAAAATGATGTATAAAAAAGATTTAAAGGGATATATTTGTCATTTACCTATTTTATCCCGGGATAAGTTATCCCAGAATTACTATACCACCCAATATGAGGGATAACTTATCCCGGCACTAATTCATAATCCTTAGATAATTTATCTCAAGCTTTGCAACCAAACAACGAAATAAAGGGTACTTAAAATTTATCCTGAGATTAACTCCCCCTTATCCATCACACCAAATGACCCCTTAGCTTTTAACTTATAAGTCACTTAAAAAGCCAATCCGAACACCCTAAATGAAAATAAATAACCTAACATTTTTCACATACGCTAGGATATAGCGTATTTGGGTACTCCATTGATCGCTAAACCACACATTTATGTGCATGAAAGAGGGGCACTTTAAAGACTTCCAAATTTTCTAAGATTCTTTTTGGGTAATACCTAGTAGCCGGGGCGGAGCTATAGGCGTAAGAGAGTTCATCCAAACTCTTCGTACATTATATATATAAGATCAAAATTATTTTTAAGTACTTAGAGGAGATATTGAATCCCCTTGGCTTCTTCATGTATTTACTTTTTTGTACTTCAAATTTCTTTGGTAAAAATCCCAACTCCGCCACTTAAGAAAAGGTGGCACACACAAATCACAATGGACATACCACTAGCTAGCTTACTAGAGAAAGTGCCCAAAAATTAAAACACAATTGAAGCAAAGGGAAGTAACAACATAGCCAACGTAATCCCACAAGAGGAGTCTGAAAAGGGTAGGATCTATGTAAACCCTACCCGTAGCTTTATGGGGCAAAGAGACTATTTTCGATAGACTCTTAGCTCAAAAGAATTGAAGCAAAGGGAAGTAATCGGGAAAAAAATAAATCATTCTCCATCCCAGATACTCATGCTGCTGCACTTGAATACAGTAACATGATCTGAAGATGCTACATTTTAAATTGTGTTAAGGTAAAATGTGATCATCTTTACTGTACAGCGCGAAAGAACCATTACATATAGGGAATCACCGGAAGAACTCATTGAGGCCATCGATAGTACTGAACGAAAATGTCGATCTCTCAGAAAAAGTAGACCCTCTTCGAACTGGGAAAAAAACGAAGAGGGGAACAATGCTGTTGGATGTGGTAAGGAAGATTCACGAGCTTGCTGCTAAATGATTGAATATCGATTCAAGTGTTGATTGACTGACGTTATACTCTGATATCCCAAGCTGGTTTCTGTCGATTTTAAAAGTTTGCAACTTGATCAGCATTGAGAACATAAGAACGTACCTCGTAAAAGAACTAAGTATGAAGGAAACCGTACCTGTTCCTCTCTATGTATCCGAAAACATCAGCGAGTGATAGACCTTCTCCACAAGGGAGCTGAAACAATTTTAAGAACTCATCAGTTGCTGAAGACGATGACCACATGTTAAAAGTTATGAAATAGTTGTCTGCAGTGACGGAGCCATTATGCTGAGGGGTGTCATTGGAAGATTACATTGTTTGGCTAGGTTAAATACTATCAGTTGATTCCCCTTATGTCTACTTTTTTATATTTTGACACCCCTCAATAAAATTTCTGGCTCTTGCCACTTGTTGTCTACACACTCTTGGTTAGAAAAGAACGGTTTTGTATGGATGGTGAAAAGTATCATGTTATATATCAACCTAACGAGGAGTTACGGATAAAAAGAGCTACGTCATGTTCAAATGGAAATTACCTGATACTTGACACTCAATCCATTGCAACCTTGAAATGTGGCATCAGGAAATGAAGACTGAATGAATGAATGGATTTTGGTAAACTTCTCCTTAGCCAACCACCACTCACAGAATATCGGCAACGGGAGTCCACCTGGCATGATTTGTAAAAGAGAGGCAAGCAAATAATAAATTATTACTCACATAAGATGCACTTAAACAACTTAAGGAAATAGGTTGACGTACCATCACGAGCCAACTGCTCTGACAACTGGTCACCGAAAATCTTACAAGAGTCTTCAGTTGCAGATACTAATGCTTTCACTCTTTCTTCATTGCCAAACCACTGTCCAACAGCCATGATCATTTCCTTTGATAAGCTTATTTCTGCCGCCGATGCGTCTCCTGAGACTATAGAGTTAGTACCTCCAATGCAAACTTCAATGTCATTTAGTATACTCCTAGAGTGAGGACGAATATCGAATAGCTTTTCTTGAATTATTAAGCAGAGATTTTCCAGATCCATAGAGCTGACTTCAACTGGTTTAACCTGAAGATAAAGATACAGAAGAACGTACAGTTACAGATAATGATGTTAAAAAATGAGTGCTGAAAAACAACGGTCACAAGTACCTCTAGTTCAAGATGATTCCCGAAGCGCGTTTTCAAGTGCTGAGAGCTACCAAGGCACCTCAACCTGCCTCCAACCTTGTAATGCATAAAGAATAAGAGGGGAAAAAATCATTGAATTAGGCCTTTGGAACATGAATATAATATATAGACAATGTAAGCACACTGGTTAGATACCATTATCCCAATCCTTGTGCACAGGGCTTGAGCCTCATTCATGCTGTGAGTAGTTAAAATTACAGCTGTCTTTCCTCGTCTAGTTGACAAACGAGATATAACTTCCCACATGAAACGTTTGGCAATAGGATCCATACCTGGAAAAATTGACAATAGAAATCAAGATTTTGTAATAGAAGCATCTAGACAAAGTTGAGCGAAGATGTGAACGGAAAATAGATTGCCTCGGACTGGGAT